ATTTATGAGTCATATCCTTTTTTGTCCCTCCATGATGTATAAAGAAGACCTGAAAGGTTCTCTTTTTTCCCACGCTTGTGTTTTACAATAGAAATTCAGGCTGGACTTTAGATGTCTTTGCTGGGGGGAAAAAAATGTTTTTACATTGTGTTAGCTATCTTGATGTAAAATCCTAGGGGAGACAAGGTACAGGTAGTTTTTACCTCAATGTAGCTAGTCAAGGTGCAACTTATACCTCCCAACACACTATGTGGAAGTTAAAGTATTGATCTCAACTAGCTATGCTGAGAGAGCCATTACCTGTGCACTTGTCTCCAAAAGGATTTCACATCAAATTTTGCAGCGTTGACATAGCCTAGGGCCCTAGGATGAGTGGAGAACCAGTCAGATGATGACAATGTGGGTTTGTCTACACAACACCTCTTACCTTGGATTGCCAATTAATTTAAGGTAGTTAAAACTTTTGTAAAAGCTAGTGTGTGGACATTCCCTGAACATGTTACAGTATACAAATATTGGCTCTCCACCCTGAGCTGAGCAGAAGCTAAGAGGTGGAAGCAATTTTTAGTCAGACCAAACTTTTTCTGTTCATTCTTTTTTGTTAGCATCCATTCAAATGACTAACATTTTAAATAGGGGAAGTCCTCTTTGATTATTCAAAAACCCTTGTCCCTTTAATTAACTTATTAAATGATCACATTTTTACCCCCTAGTGGTCTTCTAACAAAACCATAAAAGTTCAGACTATTCATTTATAATATTTCCCAAATAAGGGACAATCAGTGGGGGAAAAAATACCTGCATATCTCCTTTCAGGATGTGTACATCATAAAGAAACAAAAAATAGGGCAGAGGTCAAATTAAAAAGCAAAAATAAAAAACAAAAATCCACAAAAACTTTCAGTCACCTTTAAAACTTTAATTGCATTTTTAAATGAAGTCCTTTGTATAACATTTAAGTATTAGATCAGTAATACTGAGTGGCATAAATTAGTATAGCTCCATTAGCTTCACCAGCTGTGGATTTGGTCCCATTTAAAAAAAAATCAGTTAGTAGTCATTTGGAATTTTCAAAGCCTGTCATTTTATTATGCTAATCTTAATCAAAATAGATTTTTTAATCATTGCTTTTCTTTTCATGCATCACTGAAAAAACATTTCTTGTGAAGTTATATAAAAATAAATCTCTCCCTTTGAATTTGTAAAGCGTAATAATATAATCCAAGTAGCATCTGTGAATCTCCCTCAAACTCATTCAACAGCACTACCCAGGGACTCAAGCATTTGGGATGATGTGTTCATGAAGGTGCATAAAATGTTTTATGCTAACTTATAAGAAAAGTATTTTGCATGACAGTCTAGCAACTACTCCACATACAAATCTGGCATTTTATAATAATTAATAATTGTAAAGTTACTTTTAAAATGGAATCTACATGATTGAACACTGTGTACTAAATATAATCCACTACATAGTACTTATTAAACTCTTATGGAAGTAACAGATCAGTGACTGTTTTTAGATTCCTTTTGTTTTACTCACACATATTGCAAGGTGAAACTTTGGTTATACTGAATACTATGACTTCAACACCATTACTCAGAACATAAACAACTAAGACTGCCAAAAAGGTAATAAAAATAACTAATGAATATAGGTGTACTTTTCAGGCAAAAAGTAATCAGATTACTTCTCAGAATACATTTTTAGGTCTAGTCTGTTACCTTAGCATATCTGTTTGCATCTTAATTCAAACATTTTTGCTAAATTTGAAAGGCATTGACGGAAATAAACAGAATTGTCACAAGCACCTTTAAGAGTGTGTCATTTACTTCCCTTTCAGTAATTAGGCAGTTAACAAGTCTAAAGTAACATTTCTTAGCCCTGGTCTACACTACAAAGTTAGGTCAATGCAATGCAACTTATGTCGACCTAACTCTCTAAGTGTCTACATTAAAATTTCTCTCCTGCCGATGTAACTGCCCCACTACACCTACTTAATAACTCCACCTCCACAAGAGATGTAGAGTCAATGTCGATATAGTTAGGTCAAAGCAGTGTCAGTGTAGACACTGCGTTGCTTACATTGACTGTTGCTGGCATTGAGAAGCCATCCCACAATGCCCCACACTGACAGTTCAATCAGTGCAAGCGCTCTGGTGAGGATGCGCACCACTGACACAAGGAGCAAAGTGTAGACACGCACAAGCAATGTAATTACTGCAGCAGCTATATGCCGATGTAAGTTAGGTCTACTTAATTTGGTAGCCCTTAAGGAAGAATAGTATGATTTCCAAATAAACATTAAAAGAACTCCCCCAGTTAACTGACTTTAGTGCTTGTGATAGGTGATAGAAGGCTTTAACTCAACTGATTTAGCATATGTTATAGACAGAGTGCCTTGTCTACACTATGCACTGTAGTTGTAGCCGTGTCAGTGCCACAGAGACAAGGTCAGTGAGGTAATGTTTTTTACTGGGCCAACGTCTGTTTAGAGAGACAACTAAATGCAAGGTGCAACAGATTGTTTAGCATAAGTAGTTAGCACATATTTTAAGGGACTCTTCAAGGTAGACTGGCCCGTTAGCACCTCTCCAGTCATATGACAAGAAGAGGGAGTTAGTGGGTTTGTTGTAATAAGCCATATCAAATGCACCACTAAACCGATGATATACCTGAGTTACATCGACAACATTTTCATCCTCTGGAGATTAAACTCCCTCATAGATTTCTACCACAACTTCAACAACCACCACTCATCCATTAAACTCTCTCTGGAACACTTCCACACTAGCATCAACTTCCTGGACAATCATCTAGAACAATGGAATCCAGAGAACCATATACAAGAAACCCACATATCACCACATTTACCTTCAGAGATTCAGTAACCACTCCAAACACACCAAGAAATCTATCATCCACAAGCAGGCATTCAGCTACCACAGAATATGCTCTGTAGAGGAAATCCGGGATATACACCTTAACACACTTAAAACCACCTTCAACAAACAAGGACACTCCATCAAAGAAGTAGATCGAATCATGGAACAGGCCACACAGACAACCTGAAAGAACCTGCTTCAATACAGAAATAAAACTCCGTCTGACCATACACTACTAGTTGTCACCTACCACTCCACACTGGAACCCATATAGAGTATCATCAAACAACTACAACCCAAACTCAATGGTGATCCCATCCTGAAAAAAATATTTCCCGAACAACCCCCCAACCTCTCCAAGCTCATCGTTAGAAGCAAGCTTCCCACAGACCAGCACACACCAACTCAAAGCAGCAGCAGACTTTGATAGAACAACAGATGCAAAACCTGCAGACATATCTCCATTGCTACAATGATCAACACACTCCACAACACACCTGTCAAAATTCATGGATCCTGGACATGCCTATTACAACATGTGGTATACCTCATCCAGTACACTAAAAGCCCCAATAACAACTATGTGGGTGAAACCAGACTATCACTATGCTCTCAAATGAACTCTCACATGAAAATGATAAAAGACAAAAAACACTGTCACCTGTGGGTGTACACTTTTCACAAAGCCATCAGTCTATATCTGACCTATCAATCCTCATCCTCAAAGGAAACCTGCACAACACTTTCAAAAGATGAGCCTAGGAGCTTAAATTCAATCTCTGCTAGACACTGAAAATCACTGAACAGAGTCACCGGATTTATGTCTTATTACAACAATCTGTAACGCACTAAGGCCATGTCTATATTTACAAGCTTACAGTGGCACCCAGTTGTACCTATACAGCTGTGCCACTGGAAGATTGCTCATGCAGCCGTGTTATGCTGATGGGAGAGAGCTCACCCATCGACATAATAAAACCAGCTCAATGAGCGGCGGTAGCTATGTCGGTGGGAGAGCATCATAGTGCTATGCACACGAGCTCTTATGCCGGCAAAACTTATGTCGCTCAGCGAGGTGTTTTATTCACACACCAGAGCGACAAAAGTTTTGCCAACATAAGTGCTAGTGTAGAAATGGCCTATGACTGCAGAGGTGTTAACGGATACTCTACCTAGAATAGTTCCTTACAATATGTGCTAATTACATATTCTAAACAATCTGTTACACCTTGCATTTAGCTATGATGCTCAGAGTACCTTTCCCAGCCTGAAGAGGAGCTCTGTGTGGCTCGAACACTTGTCTCTCTCACCAACAGAAGTTGGTCCAATAAAAGATATTACCTCATCCACCTGATCTGCCTA